CGTTCAAACATATTGCTATATTTAAACAAAAATTAATTAGATTTGCACAATACCACTTACATTTGATAACTGACACTGATATTTTTATTAAAAAGTACCGTCATATATTTGTATGCAATAGCACTACTTACCTGGGCATAGGTTCTATATTGTTTCACGGCAGATACTATTGCAGTTCTAATTAAAAAAGTAATTTCAAAATCGAACCTTCTCTTAGAAAATGTAATATTATACCAAAATGTTCAGAACGTATGTTTGTTCTTAAACAATATTTTATCAATGTATATTTTTTCCGAATTTCAATTTTTATACCGTGTTTTGAAGATTTTAATAGCTGAGTATGTACGTGCCAAAACCAATGGAAACGGTGCAAAAAATCTTCAACTAATCCACGATGTGCGTATCCATTTAGTCACTTGATGAATCAAAATGGTGTTGGATTCGAAAAATGGTGATATCAGATATTTACGACGATTTTATTCGAAAACGCGTGCTTTCTTTTTGGACTTTGCCATTTTTGACCAAATTAATCGTTCATGGTAAACCCAATTGGGACCAAGATTAACAAGAATTGACCAATTTCGAGCAAAGAGACGAATGTGAAGGAAAGGAAATTTTCAGAATCGAAAATAGGAAGGGTCACAATTTTCCCTGATTTTCAACCAAATTTTGGACAGTATTCTAGAGATGAAAGCAATAATAGTTTTCGAAATCAAATGAAGAAGATTCGGGAATTTTGGTTCGGTTTGTATTCTATTAATTTGGTCAAAATTGGCTAATAAGTTGGAATTTTGGTTCATCAAGGGAGTAAATCGATGCGTAGGTATATCATGGATTCTTTAAGTTGAGAGATTTTTTTGCACCGTTCCCATTGGTTTTAGCCATGTATCTTGGTGAAAAAGGCTTGAAAACACGGTATAAAGATAGAAAATAGAAAACAATTACGATGTTTTTCAATTTGGAAGTCCGTTTTCGTGATCTCAAAGATTTTGTTTTAATTCTGTGGGTACCATCTGTAAGAGCATACTCAGAAACATGTCTAGTTGGTTTGATTCCTCGCTCGAGTGCAATGATGTCCGGTTCGATATACTCCAGACGATCCACCACCAAATTCTGTCGGAACATGGATTTCATACATTACGTGTCCGAAATTACAGGCCTTCATAACCCAATAACCCCGTAGCCCCACAACCCTTGCTGTACTATTATGTACTATCACGAAACTCGAGGAGTTAAATCTGTAATCCTGTTGTAATTCCGTAATCTCTTAACCCGGGACATGCAAGCTTCTGTAGATACATGATCTGGGGCATACAGATTTGTATTACAAAGTCACCCAGAATTTTTGTATCTACACTGGAAAAACATTGTAGTATTTCCTTTACTGTACAATCAATGACCGTGGGTTTTGTAGCCAAAATCGTTCAGGTAACTTTTTAAGAACGCATTGCATATGTAGAATTAAGTTGCTGAAACCAAGGTTCTTATTTCCTGTTTTTTTTTATAATTAGAAGTATGGAAAACATATATATCAATTTGCACATCAATACAAAAAATTACCATACGTTATTCAAATACTGTAAAAATCAAATAATGGACAAGCTTCATGATATTTCCATTCATATATACGATTCAGTAAATTCCCGAAGGTGTAAACCGAATCAAATATTGTAATGTGAAAAATTTCATGAACCATGTCCAGGCGACGTTTACAATTTTATTTCTAAATCTGTGCTTTGATGAGTATCCGCGTGAATATTTCTGGCACATTTATTATAGCTGTTTTACATTGACAATTTATTGATGAATAAATTGACGAAGTTCTTCATGAATTAATTCACGAATTTATTGATAAACAGTGTGGTTTTACACTGCTACAGACTTTGTCAAGTTTTTTGACGCATGAATCAGTTCTACCAACGAATCAAAGAAGCAAATAAATTTCAAAAATGTCACCTTTCCACTCATAATTGTAGTGATACAACAGCGGTACCGTTCTGACACATATTATATAAATATTAGTTTTTGTAAATAACAAATCAGTAAAAACAATGCAAAACTAGCACGACGCCACACAATTATTTACATATTCCAATAACATAACCTCATTACTGATCTGAGGCTGGAAATCTGTTGGGTTGGTACTTCCGAACTTCACGAAGAAATTGACGAAAATTA